GTCGGTGAAGAAACTTAGGCCCCAGTCAGGGCCCATGCCGATGAAGAAGCCCAGGGCATAGAAAAATAAGCCCAACTCGATAAAGAATCTCAGGCCCTAGACCCAATCGAAACAGGCCCAAGTTGATGGAGGAACCCAGGCCCAAGTTGATGGAGGAACCCAGGCCAGAGTCATGGCCCAGGCCTATGAGAAGCCCAGGCCCGTGAAAATAGGCCCAATAGAAAAGGGCCCAAGTCGATGAAGAAACTCAGGCCCGAGTCAAGGCCCATGCCGATGAAAAAGCCCAGAGCCTAGAAAAATAGGCCCATGTTGAAGAAGAAACTCAGGACGTAGTCAGGCCCATGCCGATGATGATGCTCAGGCCCTAGACCCAATCGAAACAGGCCCAAGTCTATGAGGAAACTCAGGCCCGAGTCACGGCCCAATCCATTGAAGAAGCCCAGCACCGAAAATATAGGCCCAATCGAAAACAGGCCCAAGGCGATGAAGAAATCCATGAAGATGCTCTAGGGCCCGAACCGATGAAGAAGCTCAGGCCCGAGCGAAAACAGGCCCAAGTCGATGAATAAATTGAGACCCATGCTGATGAAGAAACTTAGGCCCGTGCCAAAGTTCTGGCCCGATCCGAAACGCCCAAGCCGAAACGCCCAAGCCGATGAGGAATCTCAGGTCCAAATCGATGAAGAAATTGAGGCCCGGGTTAAAGCAGGCCCATGGTGATCAAGAAACTGATTCGCATGCCAAAATGGGCCCACGCCCTTGAGAATCTCAGGCCGGGCTTAATTGGCCCAAATAATGAAGAATCCGAGGCCCGAGCCGAATCAGGCTCAAATCAATGAAGAACCTGAGGCCCTAGCCGAATCAGGGCCATGCCGTGTAGAAACTTTGGCCCGAGCCGAAACGGGCCCAAGTCAATGCGGAATCTCAGGCCCGATTCAAGGTATTCCTTAGCCCATGAAGAATCTCAGGCCCGAGCAAAAGTTCAGGCTTGAGCCTAAATTGGTCCATGTCGGTGAAGAAACGCAGGCCCGAGCCGAAACTATATTTTATTTTTATATTAACTAATTAACATTTGTATTAAAAACAATTATTATTTATTTGTTTCTTTTCTTAAATAAAAAACTTACATATATCGTTAAAACACTTGCTTAAAACTCCTCTCAAAACCTACGCTAGAGTTTTGGCGGTGGCAGCTGAACGCAGAAGCCAGAGAAAAACCCTAGACTGATCAGATCGACACCATGGGAACGCCAGAAACCTCAAGGGAACCTTGCCCCGATCGCATCCTTGACGATATTGGCGGCGCTTTTGGCATGGGAGCTGTAGGTGGCTCAGCCTTTCACTTCATCAGAGGTCTCTACAATTCTCCCAAAGGATCCAGGATTATCGGCGGCTCTCAGGCCGTCAGGATGAATGCGCCGCGTGTCGGCGGGAGCTTCGCTGTTTGGGGTGGCTTATTCTCTGCTTTCGATTGCACCATGGTCTATGTCCGCCAGAAGGAGGATCCATGGAACTCGATCATCGCCGGTGCCGCTACCGGCGGTTTTCTTCAGATGCGACAGGGACCTGCATCTGCAGCTCGTTCGGCAGTGTTCGGCGGCGTTTTGTTGGCTTTGATTGAAGGAGCTGGGATTATGCTAAACAAAGTCCTCAGCCAGCAACAGAATATGCCTGTTGTGATTGAAGAGCCTGCTGGTATGGGTGGTGTACCTGGGTATCCTACAGGCCAATTACCTGGCCATGCTCCTTCCATGTCTCTACCACAAGCGGAATTGGTAGGTATTTATTCTTCTCCGTCGTCGTCTTCTTCAGATTCTGGTAGTGGCTCGTGGTTCGGAGGTTGGTTTGGTGGAGGCAAGAAGAAGGAATCTGAAGTGTCGGGTGGAGGAAGCGAAACAACAATTTTGGAGAGCTTTGATGCACCGCCTGTGCCAAATTTTGAGTACAAGTAAAATTTGTTATTTGGGTTTCAAGGTTTGAGATAAGTAGACCATGAATTCTATCGTAGAACGTATGGCGTGTGTTATAGGTTTGCTTCTAATTAATGAAAAATCGTGCAGTCGGCTGACGTTCCAAAGTTATCAAATTATCATTCAGGTTACGCTGAATTGTACAATAAGTTTAGGCTTTATTATTTACATTATTTTCTGTTGTAAATAAATTACCTTTTTATGGATTTGATCCATCTTTTCTAGTCATGATTATAAATAGGTTTTGGTTGTTAGGATCTTGTAGTTCTAGTTCAAGTCCAATTCCTCTTTGTTGTTCTTTAGCTGGAGGTGGTGCCTGGCTTTGAAGTTTGAGGTGACAATCGGTTGGAAAAGTTGCATAGTTGAATTTTTCGGTTCTCTGAGATCTTTTTAGCTCAACGAACATCTAGACATCTTAGTCAATAGTACATGCCCAAATCAGTTTGAGTTATACTCGAGTTTGGTTTTCTTACATTTCTTCACTCATCGGTTTCGTTCTGTGGAGTCTTTCATCGGGATCTTTTTTGGCTTGCTTAGATTGACTTTGTTCTGCGGAGTCTTTCATCATATGATCTTTTCTGGCTTGGTTGGATTTACTTTGTTCTGTGGAGTCTTTCATCATATGATCTATTCTGGCTTGGTTGGATTGACTAACCAGGTGAACATATATATATATATATATATATATGCACTTAAAAAGTCATTCTAAGCATACCATCTCTGTTTCATTTGGTAAAGTGCTTCCCTTGAACAACACAAGTTGTGTTGGATTTTGATAATTATGGACCTATTCAATGTACATGAATGAGCAATACTCAAGTGCCAGATACTTAGAATTCCCTGCTCCATGTTCTGGCATCATAGATGGCTTCAATGTGTTGGTGTTGGGTCTCTGGTTTTACAGTTTTCATGTTCATATTCTGCTCTGTTATTTCTGAAGATATCTGCATGGAAGATACCATGGGCTGGTTCATCGTTGAAGATACCTCCATTCAGCTTAACTTCTCCATTGATTAATTTTTCAAGTGCTTAGATTTTGTTCAAATTTCATTCTTGTTCTAACAGCTCAATTTTGGTAATGTAAATGTTCTGCTGTTTCATATATATTCAGGTGGTAGATTTTTCTCTCTTAAACTAACACGAACATAATGGCACTGATTTTTCTCTGTTAGGAGGAGGCATTTGGTTCAAGTTTTTGAGGAAAAGAATAGGGAAATTGGTAAGAGAGATCCTTCTTTTCCTCTTTTCATGTATATTAAGGACTTCAATAACAACTTAGTGTCACCAGGTATTTGAATTAGAGAGTTTAGGATCAAAATGGTTACCTTAGACCCATTTTTCGCAACGTTGCTAGAGAATGAGGTTTGGTGATCATTGTTCGAGGAAAGAAAGAAATTTGGATTCGAGGACGGAAGTATTTGTAATGCTAATGAAAAGTAATAAGAAAAGTCAAAAGCAAAATGAAGTTGATTTGAAACCCTAAATAAAGTAATGCTCGAGAACAAGATGCTTGGGAATATGATGCTTGAAAATACTTTTAAAATTGATTCCGAAATAGTTTTATTACCTTAATTATATGAACTTTTAGTTATACATGTTATATTTTTTTAAAAAAATTAAATTTAATTAATTTGTCCCAAAAATGAAAGAAAAGGGGGAAAGTTCCTCAAATGGATTAAAAGGGGAAAAAGAATTATAGAGATGCCACTGCAAATCTCACTTCGATCCCTATACACTCAATCCCACAAACTAGCCCCCACCCTATCCCTTTCCTTCCTCCCTCACCTCCGCCGCACAATGGCCACTTCCGGCGACATCGTCAACCCCACAACCACTCGCGTCGGCTGGATCGGCACCGGCGTTATGGGCTGCTCCATGTGCTCTCACATCATCAAAGCCGGCTTCAAACTCACCGTCTTCAATCGCACAATCTCCAAAGCCCAACCCCTTGTCGATTTGGGCGCCAATTTGGCCTCTTCCCCTCTCGCCGTCGCCGCCCAATCCGACGTCGTTTTCTCCATTGTCGGTTACCCCTCCGACGTCCGCTCCGTCCTCCTCGACCCCACCTCCGGCGCCCTAGCCGGCCTCCGCCCCGGTGGCGTCCTCGTAGATATGACCACTTCCGAACCCTCACTCGCTTCTGAAATCGCCGCGGCCGCTGCCGCCAAGGGCTGCAAGGCAGTTGACGCTCCGGTTTCGGGCGGCGATCGCGGCGCAAAGAACGCTTCTCTGGCGATCTTTGCCGGCGGTAATGAAGGCGAAGTCCGGCGATTGAACCCATTATTCTCCCTGTTGGGGAAAGTGAATTACATGGGGGAGAGTGGGAAAGGGCAATTTGCGAAGCTGGCGAATCAGATCACCATAGCTTCAACGATGGTGGGGCTAGTGGAGGGGATGATTTACGCTCACAAAGCAGGGCTTGATGTGAGTTTGTTCTTGAACGCCATATCCACAGGGGCAGCAGGATCAAAATCGCTGGATTTGTATGGGAGTAGGATTCTGCAGAGAGATTTTGAACCTGGGTTTTTCGTGAACCATTTCGTGAAGGATTTAGGAATTTGCTTGAAGGAATGTCAGAATATGGGGCTCGCCCTTCCTGGACTGGCATTGGCTCAGCAGCTTTATGTGTCGCTCAAGGCTCATGGGGAGGGGAATTTGGGCACTCAAGCCCTGATTTTGTCCCTGGAACGGCTGAATAATGTTTCACTTCAATCTGCCGCCCGGGGTGGCAGTGGCAGTGGCAGCGGTTCTTCTTAAAGACGCCGCCGTTTAGGTACAAAGGCCACTGATCTTTATTGTAAGTGAGTATTGATCCTATTTATGAATTTGGTTACCAATTTGATAAATGTGGTCTTTTTTCACTCTATACATTGGCCTGGATGAATTATTAAGCAAATAAAGATTGGTTATGGTACATTCAGATACTTTTTTATAACTTTATCATTATTTTATACGAATTCGGGCCTATCTCAACCGAAAATCAAGGAATAACTTTATCATTATTTTATACCAATTCGAGCCTATCTCAATTGAAAATCAAGGAACTCATTGCTAAGAATGAAAAAGATAAGGCATCGGGATGTTTTGGTTAAAACATCCAAATTCAATGGCAATACAACCCCATTGTTATGCTTATGCCCCGTTTTATTTGCATAGCAACCACGAAAAATGATCCTTAGAGCATCAGAGTTTGAACCCTCCCTCGTTTGGCTACCTTTTTAAAGGGTCATCCGACCAGAAACTCGACTGAATTTTGTAAGCTCTCAATAACCATAAATAAAGGAATGAGAGAACTCATGAGCTAGAAGAGTCTAAGGCATCAGAAAGTGATAACACATGCAAAGGAGAGCAGACAATTCAACAAAAATCTAAAGCTTCTTCTGCCACTCCATAATATACTATCTGGAATTTGATCTTTTTTCCCCCTTAGGGCTCATCTACCTCAAGATATTGAGAGTGCGAGGCTGCAAGCAGTGCAGCTCCGATGCCAGAACCATCATTCGAATGCTCGATGACGATGTTTCCCGCTACCTCATCTCCGAGCAGCTCCTTCAGTGTACTTTCCATGGTGGTTCTGAATTTAGTGTAGTGCTCATACAACCCTCCATCCAATGCTACCACAGACCTCCGCTTCTCCCCATTTCCGACTGTGTCTCTTCCCAGTTTCTTCAGGATTCCTAAGATAGCAGCAGCCGATAGGCGAGCGCCTCGTGTTGCAACTATGTCACAGAGCTCCACTATGATTTTTCTTGTTTTCAAGGAGGTATTAGATATCTGGGAGCCAAGCAAAAGGAAAAGAGTGAGTAAATCTTGTCAAAAGCAAAGAGATCTTTTGAAGTCACTGATTTTATGGCTGGATGCCTAACCTCCAAGTTATCCTTCAGTTTGCTTCCAACGACTTTGAGGTCGGGAGACGTGTCGTGGTGCATCGCAGACATGTGAGGAGTTCTGCAATTTTTTTGAGCATAAACTAAACGCCCATAATACAATCTAACCATTTATTAGGTAAGAAATTTAAGCTTCAGGTTTGAAGAATTAGTCTCAAATCCACTATCAATCAGAAACAGAGGGGATGGGGACGAGTATCGACTAGTCGGCTAGCCCGAGTCAGCTAAATATGATCATGGACAATGGATTTTATATTTTCACTAATAACACGACCGGATGCTATATTGTATACCTCAATATAAACGGAATCTTTAGTTTGGGTGGAACGGTTTCTCCGAAGAGAGCCACTTCTTCAGCCATCTTGATCAAAACTTTACGAACAATTTCTCCCAAGTACATACCAGAAATCAACTTCTCGAAAATCTGCGAGTAGTAATCGAGATGATGTTCAAGAAAATCATTTCTTTGAGTGATGCTGAGATGAAGATTGTATTAAGAATGATTTGACCTGTTCTCCAGGGTTTAAGCTATCAGCATCCAATGCTTGATCATATTCTGTAAGTGGCAGATGCGAGGACCGGAAGTTACCCCATTCCATGTTAATTACCTACATTGAAGTTATGAACTCGTCTTCAATTTGTAAGATTATTACGATCGAAGAACTAAAAACAAATCTCACAATTCACTAACCATTTCTCCTGATTTCGGAAGTAGCCCGTGCCACTTGGGAATCGCATTGGCACGCTCTACATAAGCTGCATTCGTTCCAGTGCCCAAAATCACAGCAGCAATCACATCGCTATCATGGAATCGACCTCCTGCTAATGTTCCAATCGTGTCGTTTACCTATATCTCAGAAAGAACTAAGTCAGCACAAAACATACATGCACCCCCAACATTGAGCATTAGCATCAGAAAAAGGAACAAAGAACCCTGGGATTTACCAACGCTGTTACATGCATGTCGAGTTTCAATTTTTCCATGGCTTTGGTTAATTCACCGACGACGTCTTCCCCAACCTAAAATAGTATCAATCAAGATCCAACGCCGACGAAACGACATCAAAATGGCTACCTATCAACATAAAAGAATAAAGCTCAAGGAATTAGGATTAACCGTGTCTTCAATGCTGAAGCCTTTCGTCCATTTAATAAGCGCCCCTGATGATATCGAGATTTGTCTCACAGGGAAGGAGAAAGTAAAACCGAGTTCCCTTTGCCTACCCGGTGCCAAGCAAAAGCCTTCACCTTCTTTAGCAACAAACTTTGCAAGTGCTTGAGCTATAAAATCAAACAGAGCCTGACAGAACCAGCACCAGATACTTCAGCTTATGCTCCATCCTAACCAAATCCACACTATAAATTCAAGGGGAGAATACTAACTTCTGAAGACCCAATCATCAAGTGTGGAGGTATCTGAACCTCCTCGAATTCTTGCTTGAGAACTCGACCGTCCTTCCCTCCCAACTGCACTCGTAACACTCGAAAGTTCGTACCACCGAGATCCAATGCATAGAACAGCCCCTTTTCATCTCTAAATTTATAAGGAAAGTGTCGTTTGTAAAAGAACATCATCCATGGTGGTACATGCCATTCAAAATTTGAACCAAAGTATTCTATTAAAAGTTTGAATCACAGTAAAGACAGCAATAACATGAGAGATAACATAAAGAACTGATGTAAATTCAACAGAGAAGAACATTATATTAAAACCCCAAATACAAACAAAACAACAAAGAAAAACGCTTCATCGTCTTATGAAGCCCTTTGCATGAGCTTAAAAAACAACAAATTCTAAACGAAATGAGGAAAATGTTCATAGATTTTCTTAGTTCAAGCAAACAAGAGGTTTAATTATTATGAAACGGTTAGAACAAACAGATCTAATAAAATTCAGAAGGCAAATCAAAAGGGAACAGAATGAAGTATAATTTGCAGTACCCGGTTGGGAGATTATCGACGAAGCTAATCAGCATCTTGAGTTTGCTACCACCTTCGGAAGCGAGGCCAGCGTGCATCTCAACGGCCATGGCGTCAGCCACCTGCCTCAGTTTCCCAATAGGGGTTCCACATTTTTCCTCGAACTCTTTCAGAATGGCCATTGCTCGAGCCCACTTACCGGAGTTTCTCACGCGGTGGCGCACCACTAGCGCCGCAGCCGCGCAAACCGCACCTGCACACACCGCCGCCGCGCCTACTGCAACCTTTCCCATCTGGCAACTAACTGAAACGCCCCAAATTCTAATTCAATGAGAAGGTCAGGCGCGGAGCAAAAGCTACTCTCTCTGGTTCAGGCAAGTTCTCGAGTCATGAAAAAGCTTCTACGAGACTGAAAAACACGTAGAAATGGAGAAGAAAAAGTATTATTTATTCAAAAATAAAAAAGGGAATTAGGGATTTTGAAGAAAACCCAAAGAATTTGAGCGAGTTTCCAGCAGAATCGGCTTTTTTTCTCGGTGATTTCAACACCTAAACAGAAACTTAGTATAGTGATTAATCGAAGTCGTTCTTACCTTTTTCGTGATAAATTACATCTTTTTTTTTCTTTTTCAGAATATATTTTTGTATAGAGATTAAAGTTTTCTTATATTAAAATTAAGCTTAATGCAGATTCCAGTTTTGGTGCTTTTTATTTCAGATAAGAATATGATTCCACTTACAGAATCGTGCCTAAAAATAAAAAATGGAAATTTTATTTTCAAGAAATTACAGAAATTGTTACATTGGAAAAGATAAACTGCGACTAAAATGATCCTCCGAAAAAGACAAAAAAAAAAAAAAAAAAAAAAAAAAAAAAAAAAAAAAAAAAAAAAAAAAAAAAAAAAAAAAAAAA